GTGCAGAGTAAAGAGAGGGGAGGACAAAGGCCCAAATATGAAAGGCCTTGTAAGCCACATAAAGAACTTGAAATTGAGGAGTGGGATAGCAGAGTGGGGTAAAACAATAAAACATGTGGAGAATACCGGGACTCAGAAAAAGCATTCAACAAAATACAGCACCCTTTTATGTTCAAAATACTAGAAAAATAATAATAGGAACATATCTCAACATTGTGGAAGCTTTCTATGCTAAGCCCAAGGCCAACATGATCCTAAATGGAGAAAAATTGAAAGCATTCCCTCTAAAATCTGGAATAAGACAGGGATGCCTTCTTTCACCACTTCTGTTCAACATAGTTTTTGAAACACTGTCCAGAGCAATTAGACAGATGAGAGAAATTAAAGGGATAAGTATAGAAAAAGAAGAACTTAAACTAGCTCTATTTGCCGATGATATGATTCTATACCTAGAAGACCCAAAAAACTCCACCAGAAAACCTCTTGAACTAGTAAATGAATTCAGCAAAGGAACAGGATATAAAAATCAACACCCATAAATCAAAGGCATTTCTATATATCAGAGATAAATCCTCTGAAAAAGAAACTAGAAAAACTACCCCATTTACAGTAGCCGCAAAAAAATAAAATAAAATAAAATACTTGGGAATCAATTTAACTAAAGAGGTGAAAGACCTCTAAATGAAAAGCACAGCACATTAAATAAAGAAATTAAAGAGGACCTTAGAAGATATCTTGTTCTTGGATAGGCAGAATTAATATTGTCAAAATGACCATACTACCAAATGCACTATACAGATTTAATGCAATTCCAATCAAAATCCCAATGACATTCCTCATAAAAATAGGAAAAGCAATCATGAAATTTATCTGGAAAAATAAGAGACCCAGAATAGCTAAAGCAATTCTTAACAAGAAAAGTGAAGAAGGTGGCATCACTATGTCAAACTTTATACTACTGAGCAATAGTAACAAAAACAAGATGGTATTGGAACCAAAATAGACTTGTAGACCAATGGTATAAAATAGAGGACACAGAGACTAACCCACATAAATACAGTTATCTCATACTAGACAAAGGAGCCAAAAACATATTGGAGAAAAGATAGCCTCTTCAACAAATGGTGCTAGAAAAACTAGAAATCTATATACAGCAAAATTAAATTAAGCCCCTATCTCACACCATGCACAAAACTCAACTCAAAGTGGATCAAGGACCTAAGAATTATACCAGAAACCCTGCACCTAATAGAAGAAAAAGAAAGTCCAAATCTTCATCACGTCAGATTAGGCCCCAACTTCCTTAACAAGATTCCTATAGCACAAGAAATAAAATCAAGAATCAATAAATGAGATGGATTCAACCTAAAAAGCTTCCTCTCAGCAAAAGAAACAATCTGTGAGGTGAATAGAGAGCCTACATCTTGGGAGCAAATTTTTACCACATGCACATCAGATAGA